ATAAAATCAGTGGTTACTACTTGAGAATTAATATTAGTGCTTACTACTGGATCACCTCCATTACTACTTACTAGTTGGGATGCCATAGTAGTGAAAACTGCAAACTGCTGGGTAAGGGGGTTCTGTTGGTGCTGCGAGAAGTAATGGAGGTGATCCAGTAGTAAGCACTAATATTAATTCTCAAGTAGTAACCACTGATTTTATGTCCCCAGTAGTAAGGAGCACTAATAGAAATATTTTAGGACCAGCGAGAAATTAAATAATGGAAATATTTTTATTTTCGTCCKTTGGAKRCCWTTTTTAACTGKWTTTAACTGTAAAAATGAGCTAAAAATTTCTATTAGTATTTGTACGGGGATTGCCAATAACTTGCCACTACGGGACTTGCCTTTAATACTTCTAACAAGCAAGATGCTGAACAGCTGCTGGGCTTGCCGGTAGGCATACCACTAGCGGGGCTAGTACATTGCCTATGTAGGCCTACGTAGCTAACGATGGCATCACTAATTTAGTGATCGCATCATTGGGTGATTCCCGTTACTCTAAATCTCTAAAACTCTAATCTAGAGATCTAGAGTAACGGGAATCAAGATATTCAACGGACAGACTGAGAGGATGCCAGCTCGATGCCAGTCTTTAAGGGAATTTGGAATCTTAAGTAATTTTCAACGTAAAGACTAAAAAGACTGACGGGGCTTTCTGTTGAGTCTTTTGAGACTCCTTGAACGGACGACTGGAAAATTTTATTCGTGGGTTCCACTCTAAATCTAGAGTATTTAGAACCGGGTGGTTCGACCGGTTCTAAATACTCTAAATCTAGAGTCAAAAACTCCGAATTCTGATGGACTGACAGACCGAAAATTTAGAGATCTAGAGTAACGGGAATCACCCATTAGCTTAACAATGGGAACGTTAAACGTTCCCATATGCGCGATTAGTCGCGCGATCATTTGTTATGATATCCGTAGCAACAGGAGCATTTTTTCTTCAGCTCCACAACACTTACTGCGTGATGCTGTTTTTTATTTGCTTCATGCATCTCACATCAACAGGACGCTACCGTACGATACCCTTCTCCCCAACACATCTGTTGAAAAAAACATACACCACAACCGCTTCGTGTACTTCCACTCCGATTCCCCTCCACTATTTCATCAAGATTTGGAAAATGATACGCTCTGCACTTGTAAAACATGCTGATAGTGGTGTCAATACTCTCTTTCGCATTTGTCGTCCTAGAATGTCGACTGCAACCTCATCATCGTTGTCGGGATTTTTTTGTCCCCATGCAACCAATGACTTCCAATATTTACAAAAGAACAACATTGGGAATTCCCTCTTTAGAAATACGCGTTTTTCAAATGACTCGATCACTATAAACAGACGTTTTTATACCCCTATGACCAAGGAGGAAGAAGAGATTGAAAAAGCTCGCGTGTCTCACTTATCTCCAGAAGAGAAGGAAGAAGAACTCCGCAAACTCAATCGAGAAATTGCCAAGCTAGAAACATTGAGAGGGATCAATACGGGAGAACTTTATACTTGGAGCGGTCGTTACAAGGCACTAGTGAAGAATTATGGTTTCCCCTTGTTTGTTTATTACTGGACCCTTTGGGCAACGATGGGAGGTTTTGTCTACCTTGGAATTGATTTCGGTGGACTTGACGCAATGGCTCTGCTAGAGCGAATCGATTCGAATACGGGATGGGCTGTGAGCGAGAAGGTGGATCCTCAACTAGGAAAGATGGGTGTAGCATTGATCTTAAACGAATGTTTGGAGCCTGTGCGGTTGCCGTTCGTTGTGGTCACGTTGAAACCGGTGATGGATATTATAAGCCCTCCGAAGTATTGAAATTTCTCAGTAATATCGTGGCAAAGTTCACATTTAAAAAATGAACGATTGATCCAATTAACACATTGGGTGAAAGCTTACGTTGTATGGCAGGGGGTTCGCATGTGCGTATGTTATATTCAGTATGGAACAGCCTACCCAAATGCACCAAAATTACTAGTTACAGTACAGATGACGAAAATAATAAGCTGATTTTACCAATTCTGACTTCTTCATCATGGCGCTATCACTCTGGCCGTTGTTTCCATGAAAATCTTATTTTGCGTCCAATCCCAAGAGCAGGTTGGAGCCAGATCCACCGCCTCCACCGCCGCCGGTATTTGGAAGATAGACGACGTTACGGCTGTTAGCGAGCTTTCCGGCAATCTCCTTTGCCGCATCGATACGTCGGACTTCGATAATACCATTTCCTGTCCTTTCCATAGCTTGAGTGATAATAGTTGCTGCCTCTGCTTCTCCCTCGGCTCGGGTGACCATTGCTTGTCGTTCTTGTTCGGCTTTCTTTACGACCCACTGTTGACGCTCTGCCTCCTGAGATGCGACCTGCTTGGCTTCAATTGCGGTCATGAACTCCCTCCCGAAGGTAAGGTGCGTAATGGCAACATCGTCAAATTCTAAATGAAAGGTTTTCGCGCGCTTACTCATTTCGCTCCTAATGCGCTCAGAGACTTCCGCACGCTTGCTCAAGAGTTCAACAGCGTTGTATTGAGCTACGATTGACTTAAGGACTTCGTTGCCGATAGAGGGTAGAACACGCTCGTCGAAGTCAGTTCCCAACTCGCGATAGATTTGAGGCAACTCGGATTCTGTAGGCCTCCAAAGAACACGCAATTTGATATTGACCATTTGCAAATCTTTAGTTCCAGTGACCGAAGGAATTTCACGGGGTTTCGTGCGAATGTCAAAGATAATAGGACGCTGGATAACAGGAATAAGGAAATGAGTCCCTTCGCCGGACACATCGGGCAAGATTCCTCCTCGCAACTGATCGAACATGACTGCACGTTGCCCGCCGTCGACGTTGTAAATGCAAGAGTTGATACCGAAGGCTCCTACTGATGCGACACCCGCCAAGCGTCCGAGACCTTTCAATGCTTGTTGAGCCATTTTGTTTGTAAGCTATTATGAGTGTTAAATATTGATCGACTTCTTCTTGTTATCGCAGCTTGTATCCTGTGTGAAATTACTGTAGTGGTACGATTCGTGCGATCTTTGTTGTATCGTATGTAGCATCTGTTCACACAGCTCAGACGAGCGAGAGCGGCTTGGTGTGGTTGGTTAGCGGTGAATCATCAAGGCGCGTTTGGAGAAAAAGAAGCAAAAAGAAGTGCTGTCATTCAATCAGTCTGTACGATGTCAGTCAACAAGGGGGGAGGGGAATGTGGTTTTTGACCCTTGTCGTCACAACTATCATACCGTACTGTTCGGAACGAAAATCTCCATTTCTTCTTGCAACCCGTTTCTCCTTCTTGTTGGTAAAGCATTCTGTAACATCATAATAAAGTATTATTTATGGTAGTACTTCTCTACTGTTAGTAGTCTAGTAGTACTAGTAGTACTATTAGTACTATTAGTAATGTACGCAATGCACCAATAGTAGTACTAGTAGTAGTAGTACTAAGCAGCACCACCAAGAAGACAAAGAACAAAGAAAAAGCAATTCAGCACCTCCTGCAAAATGATACTTTATTCTTGTTGACCGGATGATGACTGAAAGTCACTCCACACTCCTACTACCTACTACAACTGGTATGAAGATCCAAAGAACTTACTGCTGGTGGTGCAAGTGTGGGGGTTATGCTCCTCTAGTATCTTGCTTTTGCTGTGTGAGGAAGCCTAGAAACTATGCCAGATGCCAGAAGCTCACTATCTTGCATACTTCGTACTATGGAGAGGGGATTTGCATCTGTTGTTCCAGGCAACTAGAAGTAGAGGAAGTCCATAGAAACCAGCAAGCAGGAGGGACCACAGTCCACGTCTTTGCTGACTTCATCGATACAATTTACAAGGATATAGAAGCCCATCCATCCCTTGGCAACATCACATAGTATGTTTGAAAGATACTTCCTCTGGGATAATCTTTGATCTCATCTAACCACTACAGTTGGTCCTATGTTTAGATAGAGACCAGCACCAAGACCAACCCTCTTTTGTTCTATCCCAGGCCTCMTTATCAACCCAAATGGGGACCCATTCAGTACAAGATCCTAGATGTGCTGGTCAGTGCTGTGTCTAAGAGTGCTTTGAGGGAATGGAAACTGTATGATCTTGAGCAAGCTATGATCTACTACATGGAGGCTGGTAGATCTATTAAAGCCATTGACAATACCTCTGCTCATTTTGCTGGATACACTGTGGATGGGGTCGATCAGCATGATGATTAGCAAGCAAGCGGCAACAACAGCAAGGGTGGCTAATTTAGAGAGTAGCTGCAATGGACTGGAACAACCTCCAGAAGACTGGCTTGCCCGGAAACTCATCCTGGACCTCTAGAAATTCAAATGCATTGGGGATGATTAGATTCCAGTCCCTGGAGCATTGAATACTCAATCAATTAGGACAATAAATTGACTGGATTGATTGCATTATGGTAGGTTGAATTGATTGGTCATACTCAACAAGAATAGATAGGATCCATACTAGTATTTGTAGATATTTCATCTTTAATAGGAATGATAGCTACCAAGAGTAGTTGCAATAGACTTCATCAATACTCCCAGAGCACAAGAAGGGGATTGCACAACAGCACACACAAGCTGCTCTGTTTCTACAAAAGAGACAGCAAGAGGGCATCCTAATGGTGGAGAAAGAAGAAGAAAAGAACCACCACTAGTTCAATCAATGGGATTCAGTTGATCCAATTGATACTACTGCTCTCACTACTGATACTATCATTGTTTGGCATCTTCATACAGGCATCAAGTTCTTTGCACATTGCATGCTTTTGTTCCAATTGTTTCACCTTCTCATCAACAGAAATCTTCTTTCATCTCTTTGCCTTTGCTACTACTAGTATCTTTGCTACTCTTCTTGCTACTTTTTTGGTGCTGGGAGGGTCTTTCTCATGGCTGCTACTGACTTCAGATGGAGCTCTTTTTTATCCTTTCCATGTTGTTATCCAACCCCACTTTAGAGCTGTTTGCTGCTATCAAAAAAGCAGTTGGCATAAAGTAAGCAATGGCACTGAACACACTATAAAATGAATTACACTTGCTTGTTTGTTCAAGGCTTTTTTAATCAACAACCAAAGAGAGCTAACAATTGTGTGTGCCTCACTGGGGCTGGTACATAATCTACCCAGCAGGCCTACATACCTAAAAATGCCATCTTTTATTTCATAATGAAAATGTTAAATTAAGTTAAGTTAATGTTGCAATACACAGGATTAGAACAGTGATCAACTGTCATCATATTTGTAGTAGTAGAGTGCTAGTAGTATGAGGATACTGTAGAAGAAAATACTATGTTGTGACAAGGAAGGATGTTGGTTCAACAACAACCATCTCAATTTCAAATGACAACAACATTCCTCATTTGTGATCGAATTGCTGATTGCAACTCAGCGCGGAGAGATGGTGATGGAATGATGCATATTGAATCCCTCGCTAGTACTAGACGATGATGTTTTGTTGCTTGATGGACAGCACAAGATCACTGGCATGCACACAGGGTTGGACTTACACGAAGAAGCAGAGCCCATCAAAAAGTGTTGGACGCATGAAGCATGAGCTCGAATTTTGCAATCTCTACGACTGCATTCGCATTTTTTCATTAATCCACCGGAATCCTTAAAGCAAATAGAACATTTCTTCCCCGTAGAAATAATTGCCAAGTTTCTCTTTTCGCCACCAAGGCGAGGAATAGTAAAGTCAATACCTACACCAGGTGACGGGTGATGATTGTTTTCATCTCTACCACTGACATTACTAGTGGATGCGCCGGCATTGGTTTTCAGGAGACTACTAATTGTATTTGAATTTTGAGGGGTGGAAGGGAAGGTCACAGTTTTTTCCATCAGATTTGTCGACAGTTTCAGTCGTCGTTCCAACGAAGAGATTTTTGCCGCTTGAGATTCTTGCCGCTTCTCTACCGTAAGTTTCTCCATCCTGAGTTTTTCAAATAGTTCATTTTGCGTGTCAAGAACTAGCTGTTTATCCTGACGGTCTTTATGGGCGCGGGCCAGCTCTTCTTGATGTAATACCTTTTGCTTGTGCAAGAATACTTGGTGTTCGAGCAGTTGCCGATGAAGATGCTGATTTGCCTCCGCCCTGCGTCAATGATGAATATGAGTATGAATTAGTTGAAAGTTCTGTAAGAGATGAAAAGATTCAGATAAAAAAGGATATATTCTCGACAAAACTTACATGCGATCCGATGCCTGCTGGCAGTTATCGAGTGCAAGTCTCGACTCGGCTGTAGCCGAGGTGGAATCAACCAAAAGAGCCTGGGAAGAATTCAGCTCGTCTTGTAGTTTGTTGGATCGAACCTGTTGGATCTCAATGGTTGCTTCAAGTTCCATGAATTTTCTTTTCATGGCAATCTTTCCACTCTGTTCGTTCTCAAGATCATCTTGTAATTCATTAATACGGTCTTTCATTCGTCGAATGCGTTGGTTCAATTTTCGTTGTTCCTGTTCCATCTTCTGTTTGGTAGCGTTCGAACGGGCCAAATCGGCGTGCGCTTGTACCAATTCGCGTTCCATTCTTTCAGCCCCGGCGCCTCTTTCTTCCTGTTCCTTCAACAAAAGTGCTGACACGCATTTCGTTTTGTGAACGATTTTATCCAGTTCTTGCACCTTTTTTACCATATCCGCTGCTTTCATTTCTGCCGCATTAACCTCCTCTCTAGAAAGGAATGAAAAAATTATACACAATTGTCCTGAGATACTTTTGACGCATTAATGACACGAGTTCCTAAGTACGACGTGAATCAAACATCTTTGATATTKGATTACCTTGCCATCATTACGTTTTTGGAGGCTTGTCTCAATTCCATCCGGAGGCGACTCTCGTCGCTAGCTTGCTTTTTCTGGGTGTCTCTTAAGTCATTGACTACAGCTTGAAGTTGAGTGATTTCCGAATGTTGCGAGTCGACTTCTTGTTGCAGTAAAAGACATTTAGTTTGTTTTTCTCGAACCATTGTTTGTAGGATGCGATCGCTCATGCTAGAAGACATTGACTTTTCTCTGACATGCTCAGCGTTATTGTTAAAAGTTCCATCATCTTGTTTATCGCGCAACGATGAACGTTTTTGTTGGCGATGTAACTTTTGGCTAGATTCAAGAGGATCATTAGGTGTTGTTGGTGTGACAGAAGTGATCTTTGTGAGTGCATCGTCCAAGAGTTTCTTGAATTGAGTCCCTTTGCAGGAAAAAATATGCCAAGAAGCAGCTGATGAAGAAGGAGATAATCCTATCGAAGTCATCTCTCCCATTGGTATTTTCTTTTTGCTCCCACTGTTTTCGGTGATAGCGATGGTTTTACAACTTGCAGTATCTGTTGACGGAAATTCTGTTGCATTCGACTTTTTAGATACTACAGAGACGACGGTCTTTGGAAAAGTGTTGCATCTTTCGTCATCATTGTTGCTAGCTGTATCTGGAGTTTGTGTTTGTTTTCGGTGCATAGTTTTGTTATTGATATCCACGACTGGTGGCAAAGGATCCGGATATGATGGATGATTAGCAATCGAGGTCATGATCCTGTATCATACTTTGAATGTTCCTTCAGCAATCTTTTGAGGTACAAAGAGGCAAAGCATGTCTTTAATCGAAACTGTTTGTGGGGAAGATAGAAGACACAAGCAAAACATTGAAAAAACATCTCAACGCTTTGAACTTTGGAGCCTACTACTAGTAGTCGTAACCCGTTTTCCAGTAGTGTGACTCATAAGTGAGAAGCAAGACGACAGTAATAACTACTGTAGTACGGTAATCCCTCTAATCCTCCTGTTGTGATGATATTTCCGATCCGATCAGATCCGCTCTCATCATTTTTACCGCTGAATGAATCATGAATAGACACGATTCAGATAAAGAAGCGTTTTTAGCCAATCGAATTTGAGAATGAATCGAAAATACATCTGTTTTACCGTTTGAAGACATCATGAGACAGCCCAAAGACGAAAAATCGATCTGAAGATTTTCGTGCGCTAGTTTTCGACCTGTCCCCTGCAAAAACAAAAAATAATTCAATTTAAACAGCAATTTGCTACCGGCACTCAGATTCCTTTCCTCCTGAAGGTTGAAGCTTCATTCGATTCGATATTGATCCAAGCGAAACTAAATTGTTTCTAGATTATTTGTAGCCTATAGAATGAAGCTGATTTCCCCTTTTCACAGTGTCTTCACAGTTGCTATCTGCGGCATCCATTCCGTTGTTTTATTCCGACGAGATGTTGCGTCGTTCACACCTGCAAGTATTACCAGTAGGAAAGCCACCGTCATCCAGCCAAAAGATGTTAAAGTTCAATTGAATACGGTTCACATGTCGGACAAATCCTCCATCATGACCCCGTCCTCGTCGTCCGAATCGCCTAACGAAGGGGTTTCACGCGTCGGCGTTGCATCGGATGCGTTTCTTCGAGAGTTCTTTCAATCGGACATCGATGATGTGAATCTGCCTCCAAGCATGTCAATAATTCGAAGAAGTATCGGGCAATTAGCCTCTGGTTCTGATATTCGTGGTCAATTTGTTCCACATCCAGTGACAGGACGAATGGCTTCTTTGGCTCGTTCTATTGGCCAAACAAAACTCCCAGCACTGACACCCTTCGCAGCACATTGTTTAGGCTTCGCCTTTGCAACTATGGTGAAAGAAGAGCAGCAACTCAAAGGGAAGGAAGACGAAGAAGTCATTGTATGCATTGGCCGCGACCCAAGAGAACACGGATCAATATTAGCGGATTCTTTCGCCAGAGGAGCGGGCGGATTAAATGGAGTGAAAGTGTGCTACGCAGGCATTGCTACGACCCCTGCTCTATTCGAATTTTGTCGGTAAGTTGGACTTTGCTAACTTGTTAGAAGTAGGATATTCAAAATACTTTTTCTTAAAATCGTACCCTTCTAAAGCGATTTGCTTTCTTGAATCCGTCACTAGATCTTCTTTGTGCCATGGAGGAGTCATGGTAACAGCCTCTCACTTACCTGGCGATCGGAATGGCTTCAAGTTCTTCGACTCATACAATGGTGGATTTCAAAAATGGCAAATCAAAAAAATGCTCGACATTGCCCAAGATCACGCGCATGTTTGGTTCAATATGGGAGTCCTCCCGCCGACTAATGTTGGTCATGTCTATTGTGACGAACAGGTCAATTGGATGGAGTGTTATCAGGAAAAACTGAAATCTGCTTTGTTGAAACATGTAAAGATGCAATCAAACAATGAGCAACCTCTACAGGGGCTCAACATTGTTTTGAATGCAGGCAATGGATCAGGTGGTTTTTTTCAGAAGGTACTGGCGGATTTAGGGGCAAATGTCGATGGATCCATCAATATCAAACCAGATCCATCTTTTCCAAGAGGTGTTCCGAATCCAGAAAACAAGAGCATGATTCAAGACACAATTGAAGCCTGTGAAACAGCTCACGCTGACATTGGGATTCTCCTTGATACAGATGCCGATCGATTTGGGATGGTCGCACCTAGGGTTTTTTCCAAAATCATTACTTCGCAAGAAGGAAAAGAAGTTCTTTTTCAGCCATCGGGTTATGAACCAGTTAATAAAAATCGCCTAATTGCGTTGATAGGTGTGATCTACGCTCGCCAGTCTCCCGGCTGTAGCATTGTAACTGATTCTGTGACATCCAACGGACTCTCTAAGTTTCTAGAAGAAGATCTGAATTTGAATCACATACGATATTTACGAGGATATGCCAACGTCATCCAAAAAGCGAAGTCTGTGAACTCAGAAATGTCTGCTAACGCAGAAGTAGCCATTGAAACCTCTGGTCACTGTGCACTTAGGGAGAACGACTTTTTGGATGATGGAACTTTTACTGCTATCAAAGTTTTAGGGTTATTAGCACAAGAAATGAAGGAAATGGAATCGTCGACACCAAAGAAAAATTCCCTCCTTGATCTTCTATCAAATTTAGAGGAACTGGATGAAGTAATTGAGTTCCGATTGCCCGGCAAAGACGGAAGTTTAGAGAGTGTTTTGAGACTTTTTGATTTAATAGCTCTCGATATCGAAACTCATTGTGAGGAGCAATCGGAATGGTCAATCGACCATGAAAATTTAGAAGGAGTACGAGTCGGTACAGGAAAGGATGGTGGATACTTCCTTCTACGAAAGAGTCTCCACGACCCTGTGATGTGTCTTCAAGTGGAAGCATCGAGCAAGAAGGTTGCAAAGCAGTTGATTACCGACCCCCTGCTAGGTTTGTTCCGATCTGAGCCACAGGTTGCAGAAACTTTGGACCTGTCAGCATTAGAGCAATACTAAGGTGGATTTGTAATGCGAAGAGACTCGTTTTTAAAGTAACGGCACACTCTTTGTTTAGTAGGAGAAGAATCTAGTTACATTGTGCTGAATTGAGATTAAGTAATAATTCATATGGGTGCAAAAATCAATGGCCCTACCATACTATGTCAATTGTGGTTTCGTTCTATGCCAACAAAGAACATTTGTTTATTACTTAGAAGAACCTCTTCAATGCAGATGGAACTGCATTATTTGCAGTGTGCGATTCGCTAGAGGGCTTTCTGTTTGTACCTTCTGATCCACTAGAAAGAGCTGCCATTTCTTTTTCTTTCTCCCGTGCTTCTCGTAATTTGGTAACTTGTTCGTCGATTACGTTTCGTTGTTTGCGTCTAAGTTGTGTTTGAATCTTGCTCCTACCTCGTTTTTTGGTGGCTTGCCTCTTAGGTTTTTTGTGAGCATTCGCCAGTTCTTCAGCGTCCTTTAATCGTTCATTGCGAACTTCTGGTGTACTTTCTTCCATACCACCGATTTCATGAGGATCCAGCGTGATCATATTATGATCCAATTTGTCCAGAAGAGCACGTACTTCTGCCTCGCGCCGTTGCTTCTTGTCTTGGAATGGATTCAAGTTGTACTCAGTAGTGTCCAAATTCGGTTCCCCCGATCCAGGGATGACGATAGAGGCCATACCCTTGGTATGACCAATGGTGCAAACATCTTCGAACGGACGAAATCGAAGAGTTTCCACAGGTCCACACGCCGGAACGGAATGTCGCATATATGGCTCTTTTACTTTTTTCAACAAAGCCTCCGGAGACCAAAATGTTGCATGGCCAGCGTGCCCAACTCCCAAGACACGACGCTGCGATATGTCCAAGGAAGTTGGTATTCCAGCGATACTGAAATAGGAGTGGGTGCATTGGAATTTTCGTAAGTCCCATATTTTGATCTGACGGTCCGCACCCCCTGTTGCCATATAGTTTCCTGATATATCGATGGCCATGGATGTAATTGGTGCCCCTTTGTGGCAGTGCATTTTTGCCAAGTAATTATTGGAAGCAGGCGACCATAGTGTAACCGTACCGTTTGAGTGTCCCAAATGCATAACGGCATTTGATTGATTCTGACGGAGGACATTGCAAGGTCCTAGTTTCGTACGCTGTTGTGACACCAATCCTCCCGTAGATGTGTCCTGATATACAAGATGTCCAGTTCGACCTACACTGGCGAGCAGCCAATGGTACGGTAAAAAGTCCATGGCCATGGGATCATGGTGATCGCTCAATTTATGTACTTCTGCCCCTGTATCGTCGTAAATATAAACATGGTTGGTTTGCGCTACCGCAAATAAGCTGAAATTGTGCAAAAAGCAGGCATCCCGCACTCGTTCTCGCACGTCAAATTCCTTATGGAGACTGAGATGGTGGGCATCCATCATAGCCAACTGGCCTCTGTGGCCATATAATATCGAATATCGACCTGATCTATCGAATTTACAACCGTATGGTCCTGAAGGTAAGGTGACGTCATAGATATGCCTCGCAGTGTTTTCATCGAGGTGATTACGTTTGAGCTCTACTTGTGAGAGACTCGACGTAAATTCCATTTCGTGTTCGGCCTCCAAAAAACCAGCCTGTTCTGTGTTTAAAATTATTTGTGCATCAGCAGCAGCCACAGCTGCCTCATAACGCTTAGCTTTGTAAATTTTGAGTTTGGAGTGCACGGATTTGTCTTTTCGATTCATTCGCTTTTGTATCGAACGTTTTTGGTATCCATTCATTCGACCCGTCGGAACAGTGATATCCTTCTCTAAATGTCTAAGACGGTCTTTTTGTTGTCGGTCGGCATTGTATTTGGAAATAATATCCTTATCAGAGGTTGAACGTTTCTTCTGCTGAAGTTCGTTTAGACGCTTATTGGCGGCCTTCTCGTTCATCCCACGGGAAACCCCAAAGGTTCCCAGATCTTCATCATTCGCCATGATTGTAATTACAAATTCTTATTATTTGACTTGAATACTAAAATTTCAAATTGAAGTCGCAAGATCGACCGAGAAACACTGCGAACAAGTAGCCGTTGTATTCAAATGCAGTCAGTAGTTCAAATGATTGAGCAGGGAACCAATACAGTGCGTAGTGTCCGATGTACTATCGAATGTATTCGTTTTGTTATGATCAAGAGGATATTCTTACGCAACTCGTGGTCGTACGTTCGAGTGGTGTAGTTGCAATACCAGTGAATAATAAATTATTTTGGAAAAAAATAATGTGAATCAAATTGATACAGGAACACATTTTTTCGATTTTCTTGAGCCCTGTTGTTACTTCAAACATCTCAAATATTTGACTCGTTCCCAAGCGAGGATGGATGGCGATGGTTAGTCAAAATCGTCTGAGCGTCGTACGTAAAACATGTTTTCTTTTTTACTGTGTGTAAAATAACATTATTTGAAATTACATTAATTGGGTGATTCCCGTTAATCTAGATGGTCTACTTTTTGACAGACAGACACACCAAAAATAGACCATCTACTAGTCTTAATTTTTGACTTTCTGTCAATGCTTGATTCACCACCCTTGACAGAAAGTCTAAATCTAGACTGGAATCCAAGAATGAAAATCCATTGAAAGACTCAACTGGAAAGACCCTTCAAATTTAAGACTGAAAAATTTTACAAAGAGATCATAAAGAAACCAACAAATGAAAACAATGTCACCTGTCTTAGTCACTACTGTATATATTAGATTGAAACAAAGAGAGGCACAACTGCTGCAGGCCTTGTCTCAAGACAGCACAGGGACGAGGGGGGGGAGATACCTCTCACAATATTCATTCCAAGAGCAAAGATGTCAAGTGATCGCTTGCCTCCACTGGCACCTGTCCCTCCCTTAGGAGCTCCCTCAGGAGGGCAATCAAAAGTAGAGGGGTCAGGATGTAAGGCTGGTACTGCAAACTACTTGGAAGACGAGCTTATCTTATTGATGACTCTCGTCAAGGAGATCCTCCCCATTGGTAAGGGTGACTGGCTCATGGTGGTTCACAGACATGGGCAGAGCTATCATTATGGTAGAACAAAGGATTCCATTAAAACCAAGTTCAATTGCTTGAGGAGACAGAAGGCATCTACTGGGAATCCCATTGTCCCTGAGTCTGTCCAGCTTGTTGCAAGAGAGGCCCATTGGTTGATTGGAATAAAAGCAAATCTTGGAACTGGAGAGGAGACCTTTGATCCAGTCAAAGGTTACATTGATGATGAGGATGTTGAGGTCTTAACTCCAAAATCAAGCAACACAGCAACAACTTCCAACATGACCTACTCTGACAAACCCATTGTTGTGACAGCCAAAAAGATATCTTATGGAAGGCTGAAGAAGGAAATCGCTGAACAGGATGCTGTTGACAGTGAATCCCATGGTGAAAGCAACTAATTCCAATCTTCCAGTTAGCTACTATTTAATGATTAAACAGCAGCATTATAACAGCAGCATTACAAAAGCAAAAAACAAAATACTGAGCAGCCCTGTAGCAGACAACAAGCTTCTTGTTAGCACGTGCTAGACCATGTTGTTTGAAATATGCACGCGTTAGACAGTGTTGTTTGAAATTTTTGCCATGGGTTTCTGTGCTGCTAGTAGCAGTATTGATTTTTATGCATACCCTTTGTGGGAGTGATTGGTTTTCATGCATACCCTTTGTGGGAATGATTCAAACCAGAATATTGTAATGAAGATGAATATCTTAAACACACAGACAGAGCAATGCAGTGTCTCAATATATTGTGTAATGAAGATAAGGTATGCAAACAATGCATGTGAGCGTGAGTGCCAATCAATGCATGTGATTTGAAAGCAAACCCCAGTTTGTGGGATTGCACCGCATGTGCTCAAAAGTTCTAATCCTGGGTATCAACAAATACTATAAGAAAACAGAGAATAAGGCAGTGTAACGCGTGCTGTGGCTTTATCTTCCCTTTTAGCTGTTATCTGATTATTCAGCTGGCTACATAAAGCAGCAGCTTCTTCAAAAAGCAACTCCAAATAAACACACCTTAACCAAACTAACCAGCCTTCCCCCCCAACCATGGTGGACGCTATCACTGTAAGTGCATTGAGTGGTTGCTGCATTGCCATGTTKAATCAATCATGTGTTGAATTGTTGTGTTGAATTGTTGCCGCATTGAATTGTTGCTGTGTTGAATCGTTGTTGCATTTAATCAATGCATTGAATCAATGAATCAATGTTGCGTTTAATCGATCTAATGAGCTGTTGTTTTATATTTTATATTCAATTTGACCATGGGAATTATTCAAAGAATGAATTATTTCCAACTGGAGATACATTCCTCCCTGCATGGAAGTACCCCAGAGCCAATATCTCAAGGGTATGAGGCTCCTCCATTGCCTCCCGTGTTGCTGCCAGCGTCTTCATGAAGACCATCAAGATCTGATTGTGCCAAATGGTACAGGACTGGTAGTTATACAAGTTGACCAGCAAGTGAATAATGATTCTCTCTCCAACGTCCTCCAATCTAAGCCTAGTATCCTTCATCCTAGGGAACTGCCTATGGATCATCCTCATCCCCCACTTGGACATCTGTCTAAGTGACATGGCATCTCTATTTAATAGGAGACTGTCTTCATCCTCTGGATCTGTCTGAGAACTTTGAATCAGATAGTCCCTGCCCAACAAACCAAAAGCTGAATCAAAAACAACCTTTGCTCCTCCAGCACAGGTGCTGTCCACTTGGGCCATCTTGTCATAGATTCCATAATCACTGATGGAGCTKTTGTGCCATGTGCCAGGGCAATTGAAGGTTCCTATCATGCAGATCCTACCATCGGGTGCAAACACAAATACCCCATTCACATAAGTATTTGCCTTCCAATTATTGAAGAAGATCTCTTGTTTGAGCCACTCTTCCAGAGACTGGATCTCTACCTTGAGCCCATCTGCTGCTGCCCAGATGCATTGCTGTCCAAGTCTGCTCCAATTGCTCTAACATACTCATTGATTTCTTGCTCACTTGGCAGACTGACCATGGCAAGTGGATGGTTATGAAGCACTGATAAAAGGATCCTCATGGAGAACTTGAGCCATTTGTACATCACTGTCAATGTAAGACCAAATGCCATAGCCATTCCT